GAATATCCAAGGCACTGGGTAGAGTATGTAGGAGGTGAGAAAGCTATTGAAATCAGACAGGTTCGAAGTATTCCAGCAGGAAGAACAATATTATTGAAGAACTTTAATGTTTTGAGATATAATGATGAGACAAAGAAGCAAGATAGTTTTCCTGTTGCTGTGTATGTGAACTTAGATACAGGAGATGACATGAAAGTTTTTAATACAAAGCTTCAAACTGTAGTGAGAGAACAACTGACTGCGGAAGGGCATCCATTACCTTCAGAAGTTACCATAGCATATAATTTTGAAACAAACTCAATAGATTTTAAAGTCGTCTCTGCAAAGAAGTCAGGTTTTACATTTAATGAAGCAGATGTATATTCGAATGAAAACTTCAAAGCTATTGCATGGTTAGATAATGACGATTGTTTTAAGAAAATATTTAAATACAGTGACTCAACGATGTCAATAGATGACCTTCGTGGAATGTTACAATCGACGTTTACAGTAGAAGGTTCAGCAGGATTGCTTACAAGATTGTCAATTGGTGGTATTTGGTCTCGTGAGAACATTGTTATAAAATCCAGTATAAGTGAATTTGCTGAAGAATCTATATTATGTCTTTCAAACTACATGTATTCGCCACCGAAGCATTATAGTATAACAAACTTTGTCAGTAAGTTTAACATAAGACTTGTCGAACCTTCTTCAATGAAAGATGTTGTGCTACCTAAAGATGGAAAGGATGGACTCATTATTGAGATGATTTTAATAGCATATTAAATGAGCTTGTTCTTGAAGGTCATTCATGATGAAATAACTGTTGTAGAAGATGTTAGCAATTGTTCAGACATTTTGAAGCGTATAGATGAGATAAGAAAGAAGTTTATGAATGAGAATGTTTATGTTTCATTGACTTTCTCCAGTAACGAGAACTTTTATGAGATAATATTGAAGAGAGATGATTTTAATATGGTGTAAATGGTAGCTTGGACAGCTTTAGGCGCAATGGGAACAAAAGCATTAGCATTTGGAGCAAAAGCACTTGGGGCTTATGACGCAGTAAATAAAATGAGTGGAGGAAGGGTTTCGAAGACATTAGATGCAAATAAAGGGAAGATTGGAGGCTGGGTTGCAAAGAAGTTAAGATTAAATAAAATAGGGCTCATAAATAAAGCATCCAATTTGGTTGCGACTGAGTCAGAAAATGCTTTAGGAAAGGACGATGAGTTTGCAAAACACGCAAAAGACTTTAATGACCAGATGAAAGGTGAAACAATGCATTTAAATAGATTCGATGGAACTAAAGAAAATGTTTCTTCTCCACCAGTAGTTCTTCCGTATGGTCCCTATGGAATGTATGGAAATCCTTACGAAAGACCATTTGACCCATTGACTGGTGGAAGTAACTGGTATCATTACGGACGAAGAAGAAAGACAGTCAAGTTGGAGACAGACGTGAAGAAAGCAACTAAAAAGAAACCAAGGAAGAGAGTTATAAAGCAATGAATTCAACAGGTTAGAAATGAGGTTAGAAAACGTGTTAGATCTAACATTCTAACATAAACATTATTTTTGTGCTATGTTTTCATACGTGTGAGGGTGGTGATATCATTAATTTTAAGTTTATTTTTTATTTTTACTGAAAATTTTTATTTGGATGTAAATGACAGAACAAAAATATAACATTTCTACTCAGCAGGAATGAGACCCTTACTGACTATGTATTCGTTTAATGCTTGATGAAAACAATGGTACATATTATCGTATGGGTATACACAACGTCTGTTTCCATCGTCGTCGTATATGTAGAGCTCAAATCCAGTCCAACCTTCTTTTGTACAATATGTAGCTTTATTTAAGTATGCATTTATGTAGATAAGGCAATTTTCTTCATCGCTCCAGAAATAATTTTTGTTCTTTGTTGAAATAGTTTTCGTTCCTCTGCGACCATAAGGAATGTATGCAATGAACTTTGCGTCATAAGGGATTGTAATATATTCAGGGTTTCTTTCATCGTCAATGGGTCTGTCTTTGTTAAAATGCATGTTTCTCAATTTTACTTGAGTTTTGAATAGTTCACGGAAACGTTCTGGGAAAGAGTCATAGTAAATGTAGTCGGACATGTCTTTGTAATGAAATAAAAAAATTAAAAAAAATAAAAATAAGGTTATTTTTATTTAGTGAGGACGGTAGTGAAGTCGTTAGTGAAGTCATTTATGTGTCAGATGGTTTTGTAAATATTTAAGGTTAAGTTGGTGTTATGGTTGTGTTGTAAAATATACGTTACCAGTTTCGTAAAGTGTCAAAACCGCTAAGTGGTGTACGGAGGCGCGCAGTGCCACAGTACCCAACTTAGGGATACTAACTATATTCAATACAAATGAATTCATATTATAATAGTATCTAGTATAACTAGGTATTCTATCACAGTATTTCTTCAATTTATTATAATATTTCAGCATTTTTTAGTTTCAATGCTGATTTGTTCCTTAGCTTGTAAACTATAGTTACTTTATATCTTCGGCTATTATCCTATTCAACTTAGACGTAAAAAAATTAAATAACGTATAAATATAATTTTAATGGTAAAAGATTAAATGTTTATTCCGTATGTAATGTGATTTGATTTGGATGGTAAGATAAGTTTCAGTATAGTTTTTGTTAATTGATTAAGAATTGTTGAATAAAATTCTGGAACTTCGTCAATTTCTTTGATTCCCTCTTCCTCGCAATACAACTCCATATCATTAACTTGTATTTAAAGGCTTCCATATACAAAACTATATATAATGTTTGAAAGTTAAATCCAATCTTTTTCTATTTCTAAAAAAAATTGAGACCTAAACACGAGATAGCTTTCAGAAAATTTTCAGGGACATTTTTAATCATTTTTTTTATTTATTGTAATATCTTTGTTATTAAATTTGAATTGTTTAATATTTGAATGTAAAGAATTGAATAGTAATAATTTTAGTTTTAATACATAGCTAATTGCTAAGCAAAATAATTAATTTATTGTAATTTTGACATGTAAACTAAAGGGGAATTTAGCCGGCCAAATATATGTCACTTTTTGACTTCACCTCACTTCCACCATTTCGTCTTATGACAGCTAAATAGAAGTTCTCAAAATTCTGTGGATTGTCAAAATAGCTTCCAACTTTTGCACATGCGCGTAAAACATGCACAGCGCACCAACTGAGCTGCGCAAGAGGAAATCCGTCCTCAATTGCGCGAGCAATGTTTAGCGCACAGTCAGCGCTCCAATGCTGTGGATCCAGGTGCGCAAACTCACAGAATTTCACCAAACATTCTTGAATTTTTTCAGATGTCTGAGGGTTCACTAAAAAATAGCAAAAGGGGAAAATTGTGTTTTGACTTGTTTTCATTGTTACTGCAAACAATTGGATCTTTCCTTTAATTAAAGAATGAGTGGAATCGACGTGGAGAGGGTTATCAATGCTATTCACCAATTCTTTTGCAGCAAAAGGTGCATATATGATTGTAAACTCGGAAAAATCTCTATTGTAATCAAATTGAACGAGATCATCTGGGCACTCTTCCTGTAAATTATTCAAAAATGCTTCTAAAGAAGTGTAAGGATCGTTTGATAATCTTTGTGCAATAATCTCATCAAGGCGATAAAATTTGTGCTTTAAAGCATCAGTAGACTGCGCGAAAAGTTTCATCGTTTCTTTGTTATTCGTATCAATTCCGAACTTATCAAAAAATGCTTTTTGAGCAAGAAATTGCTTTCCACCGTTTTTAATATAAAGTTCGATCCATTTTTGATAAAATTTACTCGCGTAATGTGAACCCATTTCAACTCCTATATGATGGCAATGTTCTTCATTAACTTTGCTTATAGTAAACACTCCATTTTGTTCTTCAACCCTAAATTTTGCCTTGCATAGGGGATACGAACATGAATAAGTGACATATTGCTTTGGAGATCCCGTTCTTCTTCTGTATGGGACACCGCCCTTGACTTCCTGTTTAATACCAAAAGCAATAAGCTCCTCTAAGTCCACCGAAATCATAAAAATGAAGTGATTTTGAAAAGAGTTAACAAAATTCAAATCACATCAAAAACAAAAACACATAAAAAATATTTTATTATACTCATTCGAAATTAAAAATAATAAAATTTATATATATTAATTTCATTAAATCAAGGTTAAAAATCTCACCGGAAAAATAACCTCAGTGTGATAAATTTATCACCGGAAAAATTTACAATAAGGTTAATACCGAAAATATCGAAAAATCAACATTTAAGGTTAATTTAAGAGTATGCACTTTTGTCACCTACTCTGTTAAAAAGCGCAAATCAGCTGAAAGAACAATCGGACTAATCATGCTAATGACTCAGCACATCTGTTTTACTACAGTTTGAAGAATTTTAAAAAAAGGAGAAATTATTGATTATAAATCCTATGTTCAATGTAAATAAATACGCTAATATCCAATTCATAATTGTTGTTAAAGTTAAAAGAGAGATAACATCAGAGTAAACTTTCATCCAACGATTTCAAAATTTGAGATAAAAAATCCAAAATATTTTGCAACTTAAAGGATTGTAGTATAAATGCAGAATTCTAATGTATAATTCAATTTTATAAATCCTCAAAATCTTAATAAAATAATGCCTAACAAACTATTATATATCGATTTCTTATCGATGATTTAAAAAGCTGTAATTTATACACAATAATTCAACCAAAACAGTTATATTTCTGAGAGCACTGCGAATCTTCACAAATTTGCTTTTTCAATTATGTAAACTTAAAAGGCCCATTTCGTAACACTATATTAATATTTATAAAAATCCGAATGAGCTTCTCATTTCTCAAAAACCAATGCTCCATCACATAATTTTTTTGATTTCTAATGAGATATATAATCCTAATATCAGTACTAAATATTAAATATAGCAAAAAGGACAAACCAAGAAATCACTAGTCTCAAAGGAGCTGACAGACCATTTCAAAAAGTGATTGTTAAAATAAACAGAAATGTCGAACAACATTAAACTCGTCGTCGTAGGCGATGGCGCTGTTGGCAAGACCTGCCTCTTAGTTGTCTATGCCAGGAACGAATTCCCATCCGAGTACGTTCCAACTGTATTCGACAATTATACAGCCAAAGTTAAGATCGATGATACTTTGTATCCGGTTCAGCTTTGGGATACAGCCGGACAAGAAGAATTAGAAAATATTCGTACACTTTCATATCAAAACACATCTGTCTTCTTACTTTGTTTTTCAGTTACAACACCAACAACATTTGACAATCTTACAACGGTTTGGATCCCAGAGATTAAACGTTATGTTAAAAATCCAGAAATCCTTCTCATTGGTACAAAGGCAGATCTCAGAAATGATGAACAGACACTCAAAAATCTTGAGGCCGACGGTAAAGCACCGATTACCCTTGAGCAGGCTCAACAGAAGGCCAAAGAAATTGGTGCTATAGCTTATTGTGAGTGTTCAGCTTTGAAGAACGAAGGTGTAAGAGAAGCCTTCGATAAAGCTATTAATCATATCATTGAAAAAGACAACGGCGGATGTTGCCACCTTATTTGATTCATATCATAAACATTTAAACTGATTGAAAGTTTTTCATAAATACCTTTTTTTACGAAATACTAACCAATTTTAGCCAAAGAGAAACCGCTGAAAAATCATTTTCTTTGGCGATTTTTAGTCATATTTTGAGCTAAAATAAATATGTAAGGAATCCGAGCTTGATTTATCAACTTTTTCAAATTACATTTTTTTGAACGTTAACTTTTTGCTTAAATGACTTTAATTTTAATAGAGATAATATATGCTGCTTATGAATTACTAGTTTTTGGACTCGTCTAAGACAGATTGCAATTGAAATGCATATTTAAAACCAGCCACAGTTAGAGTTAAAGTTTAAATATATTTTTTTTCTTCTTCTTCAATTTAAACTAGTATCATTCAATTTTTTGACTTGTAATTGAATCGTTAATTAAAACGAGGCAATTTTAATAATTTTCATATCAATACAGACCAAGCAACAAAATATTATTGAATGCTTTTGACCTTACATCTTTCAAAAACATACCGTTTCAAGAAAATTTTCTTGAAGGAGCTTCAAATTCTTTCCATAATTCCGCATCACATATTTCCGATTGTTTCTGAATTGCAAGCTGCTTACCTTTTAATCCACATTTTTTCGCAATTCAAACCAATTTGATCTGAAAAAATGGTTTCGCTTTTCATATTTATCAATCTTTAGAAGTAGAAATATTGAATTCATGAATCTTGTTCAATACAATAAGATCTGAATTTCAATTGCTCTTTTTCTCGGCAATTGATCCAAATCAAATATTAACATCATTCATTACATATATATTATAGAATATACCATCATTTAAATTCCATTTTATTGAACTTTTAAAATTTTCTATCGAATATCTCCTTATATCTGAGCTCGTAGGCATATAAATCTATACACTGTTGTGAGAGATGGAATTTGGCCGTCATTTTTTACTAATTTAATTCATAAATTAAAAATATAAAAATCATTATAAAAGCAAATGTGATATTACATTTTAATGGGCCAATTGTGAAAGTTTGACAGTCTTCGAATTAGTTTGTTCTTTTCCCTGATTAATAAGGTAGTCACAAAATCTAAGTAGTGAGGCTCTCAAAAATTGAACCGTACTCCATACAAAATTTGTGTACCCTCACTACTTAGATTTTGTGGCCTTCAATTGAGAGGTTAGTTTTGATAGAGCACGTTATAAAATTAAAAGGGAAAAATAAATAAAATTTAAACATTTAATTATATATAATGTAAGGAGTGTAATTCCAAATTTTCTAAAAACTATTCAAATTTGAGCATTTTTTTGGAAATAGTAAATCTAATATGTACATCTAATAACAACATGATTCATCACCTTTTCAAGCTCTGCAGTCAATTTTTTGAAATTTGATTGAAATAAATGTAGCAAAAATTACATTTCATTAGGGAATATATGAGTTGCTCTGGAAACAGGCTGATAAATTTTAAACTTTGTCCAATCAACATGAATGCATTGAGAAATTTGGATTGATTTTCTGGTAGAATCTGGAACAATTCAACCATGTATAAATGGATCATGTAATCATCATGAAATGTTAGTGTTAGAGTTCAAAAGAAACAGAATGAGTGGAAATCAAACACAATCTGAATAATTTTAAACGTATACAATTTTTAAGTTTGTATTTTGAATTCTACATATATGATTGTGTAATTCGTTCTTTCAAATTTTCGGATTCAGGCATGTTTTGATAAAATTCATTCCCAAAAACGTCAATTAACAATTAAATTTAGTGTATTTAAATATATATACGTATTATATTTTATAAATTATATTAAATTCGCAAAATTTTAAGTTTTAAACAAAAATAAAAAATGTTCAAAATATGAAATTATGCATAGGATATTAAAATTTACATGTTAGCAATTTTTTTGAATTGCTTTCAATTTTCAAATTGAAATTTTTAAGATTTTTTTCTGAAATAATAAGCAAGAATATCAACCTAAATAATATTAAATTCCATGCGTTAATTTCCCCTCAAAAGTCATTGACCGCCTCTCAATCTAGATTTTGTGAGTACTTTAGATGTGTTGGTGATACAAAAGAGTTTACAAACTCAATCTCTTGTTTTTACAAACCCAATCTAAACTCTAGTTTTTACAGACTCAATTCATATTCTAGTTTTTACAAACCCAATCCATATTCTAGGTTTTACAAACACAATCTAAACTCTAGTTTTTACAGACTCAATCTTAAGAATAATTTTGAGATGAGTATTAAACTCATTTTTCCATGTAAAGCCTCCAAATCATACTATTCAACTCGACATTGAGTGCAATCCTTCCAAAAATTTGAATAAGAGACTTTATGAAGAATAATATACAAACTTACAAAAGGTGACCAAACTATTTTTTGAAAGTCCGCCATAACTTTAATGGTACTATTTCAGCGTGTACAATGAATACAAAAATTCTAAGAGTGCCACATAAAATAGTACTTTAGACTTGATTTAATGCTACCAAGCAAATGTTAAAAAGATGACTTTAGTGTTTTGATAATCAAAGATTAAAATCATTATTGTCTAAATCAATAATCATAACGACAGAAGTTAATGTTTTTTCATAAGTGCTTTAAATCCACTTTTAAAAGTATACCTCAAAAATCAAAATATCAAAAAAAAATTGGCCGATAGGTTTGGCTTTAATTTTTGTCTGCTTTTATGATTTGATATGGATGTTATAATTTTAAAAGTTGAGCCAAATTCACCAATAGATTTTTGAGATTTGCAAATAATCAATAATTTTCAGCGTGTTATCTTTTATTAAAAGAACTATTTGGTTTCAGTATCATATAAATTGATATTTACTTTCTATTTGAACCTTCATTTAGCTAATGATTTAGTAATACAGATTTCATCTAATCCTTATAAGAGAATTTTGAATTTGTTATAATAAAAAAACAAACAGATATAGCTTACACTTCTATAATAAAGATACCTTTTATAGAAATCAGTATGAAATGTGTTTTTTGACACGTAAAGCTCTCAATTCATTATAACATGTTTGTCGATTTTTATATATTTTTCGCTTTCATTATCTATGATATTAAAAATTATGTCATCAGAATGTGAAATAATTAAACAAATGCCCTGGGGGAAGTATTTTATACTAGAATTTATAAAAAAAATCACTGTACGTTTAGCCTACTGGTTATGTCGTGGGGTTCAAAGGCAATATGTTTAAATCAGTAAGCACCCAGTTTTTTTAACAAGGTGAATATAACTTTTGATCGAAATTAGTTGTATTTATTTAAATATATTATATTGGCAACCTTTCTTTACCCTGTCCTAATAAACGCATTTTGTAAAAAAATATAGTGCATCAGTTTCGAACTAGCGTCCCCGGTACCCAATAGTAAGGGGTAATAACCATTCGACCATTTGCCACGTAAAGCATCGCCAGATTTTTTTGTATTTAATCACTCCCAAAACACTGTTTTGGCTTATTGGAAGCATATCAGACATAATCGCCATAATCAAAAAATCTATATACCCAATAAGTAATAAATTTGTCGATATAGATTTTCCATAAAATTAGTTTTTAGTCTGATCTTAAAATAAATTTAATTTTTTATAAAAAAAATCACATTTAAAAGTACCTTTTTACAAGCTCGAAATCCTGTTGGTGGATTTCGGGCGTACTTCAAAATTAGCTTTTCTTCTACATATGCAAGCTATATTTTAAATATGGGGCAAATCGGATCGGCGAAAGGAGTTTAGTTACCTTTAACTTACAAAGAAGTAGTAATAAGAAGAAAGGAAAAAGTTCCAAATCATACTATTTCCATCGACAATGAGTACAATCCTTCCAAAAATTTGAATAAGAGACTTTATGAAGGAAAATATAAGTTTAATATAAAGAAGAAGCAATAAGAAGAAAGGAAAAAGTTCCAAATCATACTATTTCCATCGACAATGAGTACAATCCTTCCAAAAATTTGAATAAGAGACTTTATGAAGGAAAATATAAGTTTAATATAAAGAAGAAGCAATAAGAAGAAAGGAAAAAGTTCCAAATCATACTATTTCCATCGACAATGAGTACAATCCTTCCAAAAATTTGAATAAGAGACTTTATGAAGGAAAATATAAGTTTAATATAAAGAAGAAGCAATAAGAAGAAAGGAAAAAGTTCCAAATCATACTATTTCCATCGACAATGAGTACAATCCTTCCAAAAATTTGAATAAGAGACTTTATGAAGGAAAATATAAGTTTAATATAAAGAAGAAGCAATAAGAAGAAAGGAAAAAGTTCTTGAAAAGAGAGAAAAGATTGATAAAAATGTAAATTTCATTTTTTTAAGGTCCTTTTTTCATTTAAGGTACCCTATTCAAAAAATGAAAGGGGTCCCTCACAAAATTGAAGGGGTACCATTCAAATTCTATCGAAATAGTACCTTAATTAAAAAAGCTCTCAACCGGTACCATTCAAATTCCCTCAAAAATATTGAAAAGATTTTAGGTATGCTGCTAATATAGTTAGTAGCATCATACAGAATGCATAGACAAATTTTTTACTAATTATTTTTTCTTTGCAATTCAAATTCGAGATCGCTTAACTATGCTTAGAATCATAAGCATAATAATTTTGCAAAAGGTATGGGAATAATTTGAAAATTAATTTCAAAATTATTAATACTAGTGCAAGCTAGTGTAAGCATGTAAATGCATATTTGTGCACTGATTCGATACTCTTTTTTGGAAATTGCACTTTATCTTAAATTTCGAATGCAAATTTTTTGAATATGTGTATTGAAACTGTAACCTTTTGTCTAAGTTGCATTCTAATATAGCTCGAATTCTAAAAATGGGACTTTACTCCTCTTTCTTTGAGAAAATTTTAGACAATAGCCAAATTGCTAATTTTGTTGGAGTAATACCTGTATTGTGAGGTATAATATATTGTTCAGGGTTGAAACAAGGAGGTAGTTAGTGATAAAGCATAGTTACCACATGAAATGCAGTAAAATTTTGAGTCTAAACGTCTTTTAAACCATCAAGTATAAATTATAGAAAAAGATACTTTATATATAGTTAAAATAAAAATGATTAGAAAATAGCGTTTTCGATCAAAATTTCAAATTTTGATTTCCGAATATCTCTATTTGTGTCTAATTAGAGACATTTCTATAATTTTAGTGCGCAGCATATGCAATTCCTCTTTGGTTATTGCATTAATTTCTCAAAAAGAAAAAAGTCTTCAATAATTTTTTCAACAATACAGTACTAAAGCTAAGAACTTCTAAACACATGAAAAGTTATATCATTCTCGTTAATATGTAGATTATCAATGAAAAGAATATTGTGAAATTTGAATATTTTTTAAAATAGAATGTAGAAATACTTATCAATGCTTAAAATAGAGATATGTGAGAGCTAGATCCGTATTTATTTACGTTTTCGTGCATATTTTGACTATCAAATTAAATTAATTTTGAAGATTTTAGCATCTAAAAGTATTTAATACCCCTATACAAACAAGGTAATTCTTACATGTCTTAGTAAGTCCAAACTTAATGTTTTATGATATGGGCCTGACCTCTCCATATGGTGACGATAGAAATTGAATAAAAGAATTATTATCAAAATCTGATAATATATTGCATCAGACACACACAAAAAAATAAATATAATACAAAAAAGTCATTTTTTTTTCTTAGTTGAAGTCAATTGGAATTTCATCATCTTGTTCTGAGTCAGATTCTTTGATCGGAGTCAATGTAGATGGAACTCCTATTACAACCTTTGTGTTTTTATCTCTTTTCGTCAAAGAACCGAAAGATCCTTTCTTTGGAACGTATCCTCCAGTGGCCATGACCTCTCCAGGCTTCATCTGCGCTGTCTGGTGTCTCCGTAACGAACCAGAAATTGAACCAATTCCGAATGTCGGAATCGTGGCAATTTCGTCAGGAGAAGCCACAATTGGTAATTTGTGCTCCTTGATATTCCAGACTTCTTCCGCGTATTCGGAAATGGTCCTATCTGATGAAAATCTGGCCATGTTCGCGGTAGATGTGATGCACATCCTCGTCCATTCATCTTTACTGCGGAAAACGTCATCGCAACGTCTCTGTGCATCGATGTAGTCGTCAAAGTCTTTAGCGACTAAGTAGTTGTCGCCATTTTCGATCGGATATATGAGACATTCGTATTCGTTGCGTTCTCCGAAGATTCCTGTCCTTATCAGATCGAAAACACGTCTCAATCCTTGAGGAATTGGCTTGTTCGGGGAAGATCTGTAACTATCGACATTTTCTGCTAGTTCTCCGAAGAAGAAAACGTTTTCGTTGCCAATGGCGTCACCGATTTCGATGTTTGCGCCATCGTGTGTCCCGATAATCAAGGCGCCGTTGAATGCAAACTTCATATTCGAAGTTCCTGAGGCTTCTGTGCCTGCAGTAGAGATCTGTTCGCATACATCGGTGCCTGGAATGATTACTTCGGCGGCGGAAACGTTGTAGTTTGGAATGAAAACTATTTTGAGTAAATTTCCAATTCGAGAGTCATTGTTGATGACGTTTGCAACGTTGTTGATGAGTTTGAGCAGCTTCTTCGCTGCCCAATACCCTGGAGCTGCTTTTCCGCCAAATATCATCGCTCTTGGGACAATATTTTGTCTTTCTTCGGGAGAAAGCTCGAGTAATGAGATGTATCTGTAAATTATCGAAAAGATATTCAGTTGCTGGCGTTTGTATTCGTGAATTCTCTTGACTTGGATATCAAATAACTGATTTTCAGGATCTAACTGGATTCCTGTAGTTTTCTGGACAAGTTCGGCCAGTTTAAGCTTGTTGGAGAGCTTAATTGATTGCCATTCCCTCAAGAAATTGAGATCATCAACTTTATTTCTTAATTCTGTCAATCCTTCCGCGTTCAGAGCCCATGATTCATTTCCACAGACTCTTGTGATGATGGCTGATAACGCTGGATTGCAATGATGAAGCCATCTTCGTACCGTAACTCCATTTGTCTTGTTTACGAACTTTCTCGGCTCGAGAGTGTAGAAGTCTTTGAATACGTTCTGTTTCATGAGCTCTGTGTGAATTGCGGCGACTCCATTTACCATATGAGAGCCGATTACGGCCAAATTGGCCATTCTTACCTTTTTCGGATTGGATTCCTCTATAATCGAAAGGTTCCTGATGACTTCGACTGGGAATCTGTAGCGACTTCTGATATCATCAAGAAAATATTGATTTAATTCGTAAATTATTTCAAGATGACGAGGCAACATGTTCTGGAATAATGGTATTTCCCATTTCTCGAGGGCTTCTGGCATCAATGTATGGCAAGTATATGAAAAAACTTGTTTTGTGATGTCTAAAGCTTCAATGAACGGAATTTTCTCTTGGTCGATAAGAATTCTGAGTAATTCTGCCACCATGATGGCCGGATGTGTATCGTTCAATTGAATTGCGGCGTATTTTGGAAAATCATGGATATCTGCCTTGTAATTGTTCTTTATTCTTCTGATAATGTCTTGCAATGACGCCGATGACATGAAATACTCTTGCATGAGCCTCATTTCTTTGCCTTCATATGTATTATCGTTAGGATAAAGAACTGATGTAAGATTTTCACAGCGTTGCTTCATGGAAATGGCGTCGTAGTAATCACCACCACGGAATTTCTCTTCATCGAGCTCTATTGTTGGTTTTGATGACCATAATCGTAAAGCTAAGGTATTATCTGTTCCAAAGCCAGGAATTAAGAAGTCATTGGCAACAGCGTTGACTGTAAGTGATGGTTTCCAGACGCCATTCTCTGTACGACCGTAAAATTGTACTTGATGTGTAATCGTGTCCTTTCGAATTCTCCATGGATCACCGAAATTGAGCCAGTAATCGGGAATTTCGATTTGCGAACCATCAGCGGCAATTTTCTGCTTGAACATGCCAAATGAGTACATTAAACCATACCCCCAGCCAGGAAGGTTCAATGTCGCGAGAGAATCCATGAAACAAGCGGCTAAGCGACCGAGTCCGCCATTTCCGAGGCCAGGATCGTACTCTTCATTATAAATATCATCTAAAGAAACGTCAAGTTCGGCCAAGCTGTCTCTGTATAGATCTTCCAACTCGAGGTTAAGCAGGGCGTTCCTCAAAAACCTGCCAACTAAGAATTCAGCGGAAACATAATAAACTTGCTTTGCTCTGGAAGAGACGAAGAACTCCTGCGTATCATTGAATAGCTCTATCAGTCTGTCTCTTATGGAATACGACGCTGCAAGATATGCTGAAAATGAGTCGTAGTTGAATCTTGATCTTGCAATTGTATATTCAAAATGGTTTACGAAGGATTGCTGTATTGCATTTTTATCTGCTGGTATGTAGTTACCCATCAGCTTCCACAGTAAGTCGTGGCGTGCTTCTTCGTGTTCTGGTCCTTCAGCTTTACTGATATTTCGTTGTAAAGATGAAATTGTCGAGTTAAAAACACCACGAGGGGCAACCTTAACATCTGGATAATAAGGTCTGATAGTAGGTCGTTTCTGCCTTGCGTTTTGCATTCGACCTAAAACTTTAAAATCCAAAATTTTTTTTCTCTGTCAATTTGGTCCAAATTTGAATTAATCAAAAATGATATTATTTTCCGTTTATTGGGGTTATTTTTAATACAGAGAAAACGACTGTTGTTTTTCAACGATAGCAATTCAATTTGATATCCTTAAATTCACGGTTGTTATATATGATGCTTGACTAATGACAAAAAGTATAAAAGATATTTATCGTCCTTTTCAACTTTGAAAATAACCACCCTATTTTCAAATGAAAAATGGAAAATTCAGGAGATAGATAGGAAATTGAGATATTTCAACAATTGTGATATAATATGAAAGCACTCACCATCCAATCGATTTTAGACATTTACACTGTAATAAAAAAATTACTTCCTGAGATTTTTTTGTAACGATTAGAAAAAATTCGAATGTATTTTCCCCTTTATTATGCATCAGGCAGCTCATGCTCATTCTGCCTTAACGATCAACATTATGGAAAGTTCAATAGATTCTTTGTTTCAGAACTCTTATTCGTTATAGACGATTATTTTAGAATTCTAAGAAAATGAGTGACCACTTTTCTGTGAAATATTGATTTATCGGTAATTCCTAACATGTATATGTTGTGCGATAAGGAAAATATTTACGAAATCGAAAATAATATTAATATTGACTCAAATTTCGTAGTAGCATTAGTGTCTATATGAGATTTTCCACAATACATCCATGTGTATAACGAAATCTATTCAAATGCTCTTATTCAACATGTTTTTGGATTAGATATAGCTAAAATTATAAGAAAATAAGTTAATAAAGATAAAGAAATAAATGAGGATCATTTCTATTAGAAATATTTATAATAAACACACAAATAAATTATAAAAAAACAAATAAACAATTAAAATTAAGTTCTTTTGACGCCATTCATAATGGATGACATCGAATATGTAGATTGCTTCTTATGGATATACGTAGCATCATTCGGAGCAGGTATTTTTACGCATGAAATGTTCCAATCTGGTGGAATATAGTCTTTCCCGGGTCCATTCTTCGTCAAAGCATCAACATTTGTTAATACGAACCGATCTGGAGGAAGTTGTTCGTTTCTTTCTGTTAATGCAGCGTTAATTTCCCTCGTCTTCTTATTTCTCGAAGGAAAAGACGTAACTAATGGTGCTGGACGATTAGATTTGAGTTTCTGCTGCTTATGTTCGTCACTTGCTTCAGAAAAAAAATATAAATTTCTTTTTTGAGCCGATTTCTCTTTTTCGTCATCACTATCGTCATCAATAGGTATTGGCTTCTCATCATCATTCAGATCTTTCTGAGTTGGCTTCTTTTTGACGGGGCTTCTTCGAGATCTTGTTCTAAGAGGTTTTGTAGGCTCGCGAAGAGGTGCATCTTCAGAATTAAGCGAAGGAATACTCTGATTTGACGATGAAGCTGATATAAAAGTGTTTTTATTCTCCTTTTTGTTGTTTGGAGATGCTAAAACGTTATTTGATGAATTTGTTGAAGAATTATTATTCCTTGATAATCTATGCTTACGAACCTTTGGTTTTGTAATGACTTTATTAGGAATTTTTGAATTTTCTTGGTTAGAATTTTTAATATTTGATTTTGGCTTTTCAGAAGCTTTAGATTCACGTTCAACTTTTTGTCTAATGCTTTCTGCTGGCTCATGATTCCAGTTTTCTTTTTCAGGTTTAGCAGAATCGTTATCATTCGAATTTGTAATGGATTCTGCTGAAATTGACGAAGCATATTTGAGTTGCCTTGATCTCTGGTTTGCTCTTTTCTGTATTTCAGGAGGCGGTTTTGGTAAAGAAGCCTTTGCCTTTTTCGGAGGCGTTTCTGGGGAATTTGATGAATCATTTTCTTTGCTTTGATTGTAGTTAACAATGTTTTGCTCGGCTTTTGGCTTTTGATGCTTTGCTTCTGGCAAAGTAAAATCACTTGAGTTTTGTGAATCTTCTGAAGTAGTTTCTAGATACTTACTAGTTCCAAAATGCTTAGCATTAGACGGAGACGTCTGAAAATTGCTGTTTGCCGCTGAATTATTATCGTTATCAGCTATCATTTGGTTAATTTCAATAACTCCTGTATTGCTTACATGGAGTTTCCCATTGGAAGCCTCCAGTGCTCGCATTTGTTGTTGAGACTCCAAAATACGATTAACTGATAATTTATGACGAGATGTCGAGCCATTGCTTTGTTTTTTGGACAAAACTTCAGGTTTCTCATCTCCTTTTTTAGAATTCTTATGGTTTTTGCCGTCAGGGATTCGATTCGAGCCCTTAGACTGCATAAAACTAGTGTTTACAAAACGCAGCCGTTTTTTTCTTCGGAGAATAATTTTGACATAATTCATATTGATGTTCAGACTACTTTAGTTATTTTTTCTTATTTAAAGCATGTTTTTTACATTACATTGAGCGCTCAATGAAATCATTAGAAATATCTCTGTTACTAAGCTTGCAATATTCGGCTCTTCCTAAAATATGAAAAATCGCAAATGATAGCAGGAAACAATGGAATAATGAATTTTTATCAAATTTTTGCTTTTCGTTCAATGAAGTATATGATTCAACTATTCTTATTAAAACTAAACTAAGTCAAATAATCTAATTTACATAAAACAGCTAACTTTCTGATTTTTATTTTTTTTATCGATTCAAAGTATATTTGAGTGATTTGGTAATACTCTTTAAGTAAGAGTGAATTTTTAAGAAAGCATAGTTAGAGCAGTAACTCTTGATAAAACGTTTATCCATATGTAGAATAGTAATTTTTTTATTCAAATAAAGCAAAATATTGGTAAAGTAAGTAGAATTAGTCGTGTAATACTTTACTCAAGTTTCTGGTATTTCCTGCGGTTGCGGAATTTAGCATCTTGATTTCCAACATAAATAAAGATACCCACACCAATGATGATGTGTACGAGAATGAGGATAATGATAAGCCAACCTACTGGATCTGAAACACCAAGGTAGTCAAAGACCTGGTTAGTCATTTAAATTTTTTTTGACCAAAAAAATTTACATTCCGATCGTTCGCGATAACATTTGTTACATTAGTTCTATCCAAATTTCAGAATAATACATTTGGATGACAATAAGATTTAACGATTATTTTTTCAAAAATAGTCAAGGTGAACTTTATAGGTTTTCTCTGTGACTTATCTTTTGGCATCGGGATTGATCGGGAAAATGGGATCAACTCATTCAATTTTATCCCGATTAATCGGGATAGATTTCAATACTTTACGGATCGGAATGATTTTAGGTGAAGTGAAAATTTAAAAAATTCATATCTTTCTTTATATTTGTTTCTAATGGTATTCATTTATATAGCATTGAAGTATATATTATTAGCTATCATTACATATCGGTCAAGTTTGATTTGGACTTAGGATGTGTAATGCGAATGCAAATTATTATTTTAATTTATAATTAAAATAGCCCAACTTGTAGTATAGTCTCTAGCAATGTACCTGTCACACTATGGTAGGCCTTAAACTTGATTTTAAAGAACAAGCCAAATAATCAGATTTTAAATAATGAGAATTTAATGTAGTGAACACTTATTTAAGTTCGTGAATGAATCTATATCCTTTGGTAAAATACAATTGAATAGGTTTACACTCAAAATATATGAGTTTTTATCTTCTAGATATTTTATCGATTTCAAAATTAAAGTCAAAATCGATGTTATAGTGTTTATAATAATTGGGATTTGTCTGATTGCATTATGACATTATTAGAATGTTTGAAATCGATTTCTTAAATTTCAAAATAATCATATGTATCAAAAATTTAGCATGTGGTAAGATTGTTATATGATTATCTTTTCGGCTAATGATATGTAAACTAGTAACAGCATGTAGAATGAATAAGAATAAAAAGAAAATGAGAAATTATTTAGTAAAAATTGAATAAGAAAAAATTGAGAAGTATTCAAAAAAATAATGAATTATAAAATATTAGTTTTATATAGTATATTAATATTTCACAATTTTATTTTTGAATGGGTTTGAAATGAATTGAGAAGATTTTATATGAAAATGTATTTATGAAAATTGCAGAATGAGATTATTATAAAGAGTTAACAATAGGTAATATTAAAAAGATGGTGAAAGATGAAATAAGATATTAAATGAAGAAGAAAATAATAAAGAAATAAAAAAGATAAAGATTAAAAAAATAAATTTATGATAAGATGAAAGTGATGATTAAATGTAATGTACTGTGAAGTTGTGTTTAGAAATATTGAGAAAGGTGAATGATAAAAGAATATGAAATTAATTGAAAATAAAATAGTAAAATTAAGTAGGGAAGGCATTGTTTGCTTTAATATTATATGGAAAAAGAGAGATTGATATAAGGTAGAGATATAATTTAAAGTTTTGAATCAGAATGTCTTATTGAAAAACAGATTTGTCTGATCACAAGCACTTAAGACTTTTATAACAATAGAAATGTGTTTATGATATTGAAATAGTCAAATTACAATTTTTTTTTCTAAGATGTCTTATTGAAAAACAGATTTGTCTGATCACAAGCACTTAAGACTTTTATAACAATAGAAATGTGTTTATGATATTGAAATAGTCAAATTACAATTTTTTTTTCTAAGATGTCTTATTGAAAAACAGATTTGTCTGATCACAAGCACTTAAGACTTTTATAACAATAGAAATGTGTTTATGATATTGAAATAGTCAAATTACAATTTTTTTTCTAAGATGTCTTATTGAAAAACAGATTTGTCTGATCACAAGCACTTAAGACTTTTATAACAATAGAAATGTGTTTATGATATTGAAATAGTCAAATTACAATTTTTTTTTCTAAGATGTCTTATTGAAAAACAGATTTGTCTGATCACAAGCACTTAAGACTTTTATAACAATAGAAATGTGTTTATGATATTGAAATAGTCAAATTACAATTTTTTTTTCTAAGATGTCTTATTGAAAAACAGATTTGTCTGATCACAAGCACTTAAGACTTTTATAACAATAGAAATGTGTTTATGATATTGAAATAGTCAAATTACAATTTTTTTTCTAAGATGTCTTATTGAAAAACAGATTTGTCTGATCACAAGCACTTATCAAGTTCCTCATTCTTTATATGATTTCTATCCACTCAAATATTTATTCATATTAAAAAATTATATCATTATAATTTGCTTATTTCATCTTCATTGCTGTAATTTTTAATCTTTTAATTAGTTCTTTTGGTACATATTCTAAATATTCTTCTTTTGTATCTAAAATTGTTTTGATAACGAATTCTAATCTTTCGTTTTGCAAACTTTCGTCTGTAAAGTAAATCTTGATTGAAATCTCGAGTATCTTGTTTACAAAACGATGGATACTTAATGTGTGCATTGAAACTGAGAATTTATTGGAAATTCTGAATAAAAGTAATTTATTTGTTACTTGAGATGGCTCAAAGTTTTCCAAAACGTATTGCAGAATATCGCTTTTCCAAATACAATTCGTGAGTATTAGATTAGCTAACAAATCTGCATTTGTATTTCCAAATTCCGCGAAAAGGCGCTCTAAAATAACCGTTTTGTAATCTGATCTGAGAATCGTATAACCCATTAAATGAATTTTCTTTGATATTGCCTGTTTGTTTGAAAATATTTCTTGTATTGATTTTTCATTTTCAATTAGTAATTTGTCACATTCTCTCGTAAACATATTGTAAATATTAATAACGTTTTCTTCATTGTAACTTGTCTCATCACTAAGATTTGAAATAACGTTTATAAAAATTTCCGCAGCTCTTGATGGAAGCAAAAACTCCCTGTGTGTATTTATAAATGATAATAGTATTTCGGATATCACGCAATTTTTTGGTATTTGGTTAATAATTAGATTTATTATTTTGAATTTGTCTGATTCTTCTTTTATTTGTGAATTAAACGATTGAATTATTCCATTCTGAATATTAGTGTCAAATTTGTAGAATAAATTAAACGAAAAGTTATTGAGAAATGAGGAATTTATAAATTCGTCTAGAATTCTTTGATCATTGCATAAAAATCCAATGAATTCGAATTCATTATCGGTTTGAATATAACTTGATGGTAAATTATTAAAAAATTGAAGATATGAAAACTGATTGCATATATGAAATAAGACCTCAGCAGTTTGATCTTCTTTAATCTCCCAGATTGCATCCATAAATTGATTAAATTCTTCTTTAGAGAATGGTTGGGAAAGAATTTTCACAATAAATGGAAGAATATTATCCATATTTTTAAAAAGTGACAGAATTGCTAAATTTAGGAGTAGGTGACAAAAGTGCATACTCTTAAATTAACCTTAAATGTTTATTTTTCGATATTTTCGGTATTAACCTTATTGTAAATTTTTCCGGTGATAAATTTATCACACTGAGGTTATTTTTCCGGTGAGATTTTTAACCTTGATTTAATGAAATTAATATATATAAATTTTATTATTTTTAATTTCGAATGAGTATAATAAAATATTTTTTTATATCGTCATAACTCTCATCACTGTTGTGATTCCAAATGCGATTATTAAGGTTCAAGTCGCTAATGTTTTGAATGAAGATAGAGCAGTAAGAATTCTTACAAGGGCAGGTAATCAGATTGTTGAGCAAAGAGCTTCAAAACACGATGAATGTTTGAAATTAATTCAACACATTTTGGAAATTGTCGAAAGCCGAAGGATTGAACCTAATATCCTTATTCCATCTTTGAAGACAATATTAAATTTGGCACAAAGAAGTTTAAAGGAAGAGTAAGCAAGATTAGATAATTTGGACTTTTTTTAAAATTAATGAATAAACAGTATATTTTTGAAGTGTAAGCTTATTTACCTGAAGCTATATTACTTAATATAACATTCAAAGTATTATTGCTATTTATTGGAGAACAAATTTATGTAATTTTCACATGAAAATTGATAAATTTGTATTTCCTTATGATAATCAATTTTTGTATTTGTAGAGAGTCTCCCTGCATGATATCAAGACTTGGCTATTGGTCTTTATCCATTTTTGAAAATTGTATTGTAAATTGTAAGAATTTCTGAATACTACTACTATAAAATATAATTGCTTATCAATGTATATTCTCCCTGCATGATATCAAGACTTGGCTATTAGTCTTTATCCATTTTTGAAAATTGTATTGTAAATTGTAAGAATTTCTGAATACTACTACTATAAAATATAATTGCTTATCAATGTATATTCTCCCTGCATGATATCAAGACTTGGCTATTAGTCTTTATCCATTTTTGAAAATTGTATTGTAAATTGTAAGAATTTCTGAATACTACTACTATAAAATATAATTGCTTATCAATGTATATTCTCCCTGCATGATATCAAGACTTGGCTATAAGTCTTTATCCATTTTTGAAAATTGTGTTGTGCATGAAAATTCGGTTCACTTCACTTCTGACAAAAGTGACATGTTTACATGACAAAAATAGTTTACATGGCAAAATATATAGGGTATTTTTTTAAAAAGTAGTTATCTTTATATATAAAAATAAAACTTTTGATATATTTGAGTAAATGATTTATTAATTTATTTATTTTTTTTAAATCAAATCATATAAATATATATATATATATAATAGTGAAATAGAACAAGAGATAATTATTGATGATTAAATTGTAGACGAGGATAAAAGTTTAGATAAATTAATAAAATTAGTGTGGAATCAGACAAATTTCGGGTTGTTTGGGAAGGAATTGTTGGCTATGATGTACTGATTCATGATCAGTACATCATAGCCAACAATTCCTTGTACAAAGTTCAAAAACTTGGGTGCAATCAGAACTGATTGCACCCAAGTTTTTGAACTTTCTCGAGGGAATGAAAGGGTAAGAGGTATACATTATGAATATATACCTCTTACCCTTCCATTCCCTCTCTGACAGCGGGAAACTTTGTCTGAATAGTTTAACATTCAGACAAATTTCGGGTTGTTTGGGAAGGAATTGTTGGCTATGATGTACTGATTCATGATCAGTACATCATAGCCAACAATTCCTTGTACAAAGTTCAAAAACTTGGGTGCAATCAGAACTGATTGCACCCAAGTTTTTGAACTTTCTCGAGGGAATGAAAGGGTAAGAGGTATACATTATGAATATATACCTCTTACCCTTCCATTCCCTCTCTGACAGCGGGAAACTTTGTCTGAATAGTTTAACATTCAGACAAATTTCGGGTTGTTTGGGAAGGAATTGTTGGCTATGATGTACTGATTCATGATCAGTACATCATAGCCAACAATTCCTTGTACAAAGTTCAAAAACTTGGGTGCAATCAGTTCTGATTGCACCCAAGTTTTTGAACTTTCTCGAGGGAATGAAAGGGTAAGAGGTATACATTATGAATATATACCTCTTACCCTTCCATTCCCTCTCTGACAGCGGGAAACTTTGTCTGAATAGTTTAACATTCAGACAAATTTCGGGTTGTTTGGGAAGGAATTGTTGGCTATGATGTACTGATTCATGATCAGTACATCATAGCCAACAATTCCTTATACAAAGTTCAAAAACTGATTTTCATTTGGCAGATCCACTTCTTGTCTTTCCATTTTTTTTGAATCAATTTATACAAATAAACTTATAAAACACAAAATTATTATTTTATAATATAATTCTTAGATAATACATCCGATATGTAAAGTGTCAAAAATGAATTGAACCGAATTTTCATGCATTACACATTTTTGAAAATTGTATTGTAAATTGTAAGAATTTCTGAATACTACTACTATAAAATATAATTGCTTATCAATGTATATTCTCCCTGCATGATATCAAGACTTGGCTATAAGTCTCTATTCATTATGAGTATGACCCCATTTTTTTTACAAAAAGTGCCGAATTGCAACTTTGTCCCAATCTCCTAAATTTAGATTTTCTCATATATCAGTTTAATTTCTAAAATAATATCGTAAATGCCTAAAATTTTATTCCACTCCTTCAAAATATATGAATTGTTTCCTTAAATTATGAGATTTGCATCCTTCTTAGATAAATTTCAATTTTGACATTGTGAATAATCACCAAAATTTTTTAAAAATTTCAAAAATGAGCTTAATATCATTAATTTTTCAAGACAAATTCGGTTTTCTCTAATTTTTTTGGAGTTTTTCGAAAACAATTTTCATTTTTCTCGTCAAATAAAGGAAATAGAACAAAATTAAATAATGAAACAAAGATCATATATTATGTTCTTTTATTATCAACTAAGGAATTGAAGTATAACATCCAATTATAATTAAATTTCAGAAAAAGTAAAGAAATCTGAAAAAAATAGTAATGAAAAAACTCCTCTTAATAGTGCAGATCACTATTATATAACTTATAAAATTTTGACAATCATATGCCTCCTCGTACTTTTCATTTTTCTCAGCCTCAGATCGATGAATTGAATGGAGCAGCTATCATATATCAAAAAGATGCTACGAATAAGCATGAATTTCTGAGAGGGGGGCACAAACTTGCCCAGTGAGGTGAAGTGAAAAGTGACAGGTTTACATGTCAGAAATGTAAAGTGTCAGATTTGAAACAAAAAATGGATTAATTTATTATTATATGATAGAGAGATTTGGTAAGTTACTATCAAATTTGTAAGTAAGGGGAAAAAAAGTAAGAAAGAAAAAAAATTTTTAAAAATAAAAAGCCACTCGCTTCGCTCGCGGTTGACAAAAAGAACAAATTCGAAAAATAATTGTATGAAATTACGAAACTAAGCCCCTCGCTTCGCTCGCGGCTGACGAAAAGAACAGATTTGAAAAAAGATTGTACGAAACTACGAAACTAAGCCGCGAGCGAAGCGAGCGGCTTAAGTAAACAACATATTTCAGATTATCGATACTAAAATTTTTTTTATTTTATTACTTTTTTTTGCATTTTTTTAAAGGGTGCACACGAGAGGATCATGTAAACCTCAGAATTTAGAACCTTATTTTTAGGCATTATCTTGGCTACCTATTTAGGCTCGAAAAGCAAAAAATATCAAAAAATACAACTTGACTCCATTATGACCCTTTCATGGAGGTAGTTTTTATCCGCTAGTATTTTCCCTTTGAATCTCTTTACAATTCGAAATCAAATTCAAATCTCAGTAGAAGAAAGGAAGAATCGACTTACTACGGTTGTAATACGAATAAATACATATATTTAATTATTTTTATTTACATAATAATTGTTTGAAGCTCATATTCCAACAAATTTTTAAATAAAAACATTAAAATGTTGAAAATGTTCATATATTTTAATAGGGTTTTGGCACTTTATTGAGGAATTACTACATACATAGTCGAACTGAACTTGATATTTTGAAATTTAAATTATTTATCAAAATTAAAATTTAACTTGAAATTTATAATTATTTAGTCATATTTTGCATAATTCTAAGTAGATTTTGTAAAAAATCAAGAAAGAAAAATTTTCACGTGCTTTATTTTTTCTTTTTTATAATAATACATATTATTATATAATTAACATATTCATAATGTTTCACCCTTTCAAAAATATCCTCCTCCTCCTCGCAAATAAACGTACATACGGGTGGCCTCTTTTTTCAAAAAATTAAAATTTGAAATTTTGGGCTCAAATATTAGAGATTTTTTCAACCTTCAACGATATATGTTGTCTATATCAGACCTCCTTTCTTTTTGATACTTAACATTGTTCCTAAATCTTAGCCGTTAAGGCTGTTCTGAAAATATTTTTTTTTTCGAAAAAATTCGAAAAAAATTCTTAAAATTCAAAAATCCCTTAATTCCTGAGGATTTTGAAAAAAAGTTTTTACATGAACATGTGTATATTATATGAAGTATATTGATAAGGTAAAAATCAAATTTTATTGCATATTCATCGAGAAAATAAACTAACGAATCCCTCAAAATTGAGAGGGTAATCCTCCTCCTCTCAAATAAACGTACATATGGGTGCACCCTTAAGAAGCTAAATTCTGAAGTTTACATGATCCTCTCGTGTGCACCCTTAAAAAAATGCAAAAAAATTGAATACTTTACTGGCTGGGCAAATTTGTCGCCGCCCCAATTTCTGAATCAATTTTTAAATTTACACTTTCCAAATTATTCAAAAAATTTAAGAAAGCACGTATGGAATTATTTAAAGCGTGCTTGCACAATTCAACTCAGAGATTGCGATAAAAACGTTTACACACAATATTATATTAGTCCTCCCTATAAATTTCACAAAATTGATTCATCCGGCACCGAACATTCATATTCAATCGTTTACAAATGCGAAGGAAGCTGCAATTACAAAATAAAAGTGACACTGTACCCAAATCAAATTCCAAAAATCGAACCTCTCAGTGGTGAGCATTCATGCACACCAAAAGGTACAGTTTTTAGAGATATTGAAGAAGAAACAAAAATTAGGGATCTAATGCAAATTACACGTGAACACCATTCAATACAACCGTTAACTTCAGAAGCGCAAATATTATCATATTTACTTTCTGAGGCAACAAAACTTGAAAGGCCTCCAAAAATACCAGAAAATTTACCACGCACATTATACAAAGAGTTTTATCCACATAATTTGGTTATTCCAGATTTTGTGGAACAAATTCTTTCAATTACCAAACAAAATTCCGAAAATTTTCTAAAATACATCGCGTTTTACCCAGAACCAATAATAATTTTCGGTTATGATCGTTCTGTCTCAATTTGTCACTCAGCAACAAAATTATTCTTGGACGGTACCTTTAAAATCGTCCCAAGACAGTTCAATGACAAGGGTCAACCCCTTACATTAATGGTGCTTGACCAAACAACGAATGAATACATTCCTGTTGTCCACATTCTTATGAAATCTCGGACAGCAGAAGCGTATACAACCGCATTTTCCGCATTAATTTCAATAATTGGGTTCAACAATTTCAAAACTGTTTACGTAGATTTTGAAATCGCACTTTACAAATCCATTAAATTATTTTGTCCAAACGCAAAGGTTACTGGCTGCTTATTTCATTATCGCCAAGCATTAATTCGCAAAATAAAAGAATTATATCCGAAACAAGAGATACCAAAAGAGATTTTTACACTTTACCAAATTTATTCCTCATTACCTTTCGTCGAAAAAGACTCATTTTATCAAATACTTAAATTAATCGATGAGTCATCCTCAGAAATTGCAAAGCCGTTCGTAAATTACTATAAAAAAGTATGGAAGAAAGATTATGAGTTCATTAACCAATTAGATTCAGAGGATGATATCTACACAAATAATGCTCTTGAATCCTTCCATTCTTTGCTTTCGAAAGAATTAGAAAATGCCCATCCTAGCCTCGAAATAATGATTGCAATCTTAATGAAAGTCGCATAAACACTTGTTGATAAACAATTACTCAGTACAAAACCAGCAAAACATCCTGTCAATTATACAAAGTCCACAGCAAATATTAAAAAAGCAATTACAAATTATTTATCCGAAACAAATCGAAATTCCAAGAAGAATCAAATCAAACTTAAAGAATTTCAACAGTCAAATCAAGTAAACGAGAATTCAATCGACTTTACACCAGAAACAGGTGAGTTTTCTCAAAATGATGAGAAGATTCTCAATGAAATCCAAAATGACCAGAATAAAGTGGTTAATCAAGTGATCAAATCAATGGCAAATCCATCAAATTACAAATTCGATAAAACATTACTCACCGAGAATTTATTCTCAATCGAACAAAAGGGAATCACGAAAATTAACAGAACCAAATTTCCAAAACAAAGAAGTAATCGTTGTCTTACAAGAAAAAAGAACATACAAAAGCCTAATGGTGATCTTGGTGAAAAATTTTCGAAAATTACTCGCAAAACAAGCAAAATTGAGAAGGCTCATTCAAATTCAGACCACAGCAGTTCAAATTCAGAAGTTACAGATGAACTGTTGCATGCTAAGTTCGGTCAAAATGTAAACCTCTCAATTTTATCGTCGGGGGAAGTAACTCAATTCCTTCAAAATTATTCTTTAAATATTGAATTTAAAGTTATTTAATTTGGATTATAAATAAATAGGCTAATACAATATTTAAAAATGAGAAAAAATAACTTTTCAAAGAACTTTTCATAATCTCAAAGAAAATTTTTTATTCAATAATTATATAAATTAATTAACATTCATAATGAAATTGGATTTTTTTTATAAAAAATTGGTCCTACTTAACTTTTTGAGAGAATTTGGCTTTCTCGTAAACGAAAAAGGGATTTGACGGAGTCAAATCCCCGCTCACAAAAAGTGGACTTTACATGTCAAATTTTATATGCATGTAATGTCCACTTTTATGAGTTTTAGGAAGGAATTGGAAGCCATGAGTTACTGACATTGCATCAGTATCTCATAGCCTCCAATTCCTTCAAAAAATGGGAGAAACTTTGTCCGAATAGTTTAACATTCGGACAAAGTTTCTCCCATTTTAAGAAGGAATTGGAGGGTAAGAGATATACCATATGAATGTATATCTCTTACCCTCCAATTCCTTCTAGAAAGTGTCCAAACTTTGGGTTAATTGCAAAGTATTAACCCAAAGTTTGGACACTTTCAAGTGGAGATGGAAGGCTTTGGGTGTATATATTAATACAATATACCTCAAAGCCTTCCATCTCCACTACAAATGTGAGAAACTTTGTCCGAATAGTTTAACATTCGGACAAAGTTTCTCCCATCTTTCAATGTAATTGCTACCTGTGAGGTACTGACTTGAAGTCAGTGCTTCACAGGTAGCAATATCCAAAAATTTAAAAACATTTTATCAGTTCGTTAGAGAACTAGAGCCTCCTAGGTACTGAACCAGAATCAGTGCCTAGGGGACTCTAGTGATCTATATAAATCTGAGAAACTTTGAGGAAATTGTTCGACATTTCCTCAAAGTTTTTCAGCAATTTAGCGAGGAATGTTCGTTATCGTGTAGATATTTATAATATATACATGATAACAAACATTCCCCGCTAAAATATGTAAAATCTTATAAGAAAAATTGCAAAAGAATAACAAATTGCAACAAATTTTATATGAAACTGAACCTTATGAGGTAGTGATTCAAGATCACCGCCTCATAAGATTCAGTTTCAATCTCAAGTATCTCAAAAGTAAGGCTCTATTTTTTGCCATGTAAAGTGTCACTTTTCTGTCCAATGATAAGTTATTCAGAGAAAGTTTCCCAGCTATCAAGAGGGAATTGTTCCTTATGAGGTATATATTCATACTGTATACCTCATAAGGAACAATTCCCTCCTTAAAACGAGAAAACTTGTTCGAAATTGTTTATCATTTCGAACAAGTTTTCTCGTTTTTCTTTTAATAACAAAACTAAAGGCTATGAGGCACTGATTATATATTAGTGCCTCACAGCCTTTAGTTTCTAATAGATAGCTGGGAAACTTTCTCCAAATGATAAGTTATTCAGAGAAAGTTTCCCAGCTATCAAGAGGGAATTGTTCCTTATGAGGTATATAGTTATAATGTATACCTCATAAGGAACAATTCCTCATTAAAATCGTAGATATTTTTTACTTATTACTCATGCTTTCAAAATCACAATCCTCTGAAAAGTTATTTTTTATTAAGAATTTAGAATTTTGATAAATACCTTTTTTCAATTTGATATAATACTTATATATTTTCAAAAAGACATTTTGAAAAGATATCTCAAAAGTTCTCTGAAAACCTATTTTTGATTAATTTTGAGAAATATCCGTATTAAATTAATCAATAAATTCATTCAACACTACTTTAATTTTTAAATTCAAAAAATTATATGTGCTTCTTAAAATGTCTCACAAAAATTTTATTATAAAATTATATACAATATTAAAAATCCCACAACATTTTTTACTTTACATAATCGTACTTCCTCGACGATTAATTTCCCCTCAATTCCTATCGTTGACCGAACTTAGCATGCAACAGAACCTCTCTCAGATGATTCTGATGATGATTTCGAGGTAAAGGCTAAAGGTAAAAAGAGTCCATATCCTATTCCAGAATTATCAGATGGATCTTTTGAGACACCAATAAGTTCAGAATCCGAGACTTTTGAAAATAAAAAAATTTCAAATGCTCCAAACGAGAAAAGTACTACAGACAAATCTGAATCAGACAATGACGAGGAACCTATATCGTCTGAAAGCGACGTTTACAAAGAAGTTGAAGAAGTTCAAAATTTCAAAGAAATTTCCAACCCTGCTATGCCCAAAAAGAATAATGTTGATAGCGATGATGACGATAGTTGGATCATACGTCCAAAAAAGGAAATACAGAAGAACAAACTTGAAATTATTGCTGAAAAATGCGAAAAGAGATTAAACAGAGTGAGAAATTTAAGTCAGGCTTTACCAAAATTTGATGAAGATGATTTGGAAAGTCCTTTGTCGGAAGATGACTAATTTATTATATTATTTTTTTTATTTTGGTTGAATTAAAGGTTATTTTTATATTCATTGGATTTTGTATAGAATTGTAATTATAGTTTGAATGGAAACAATAAAACATTATAGTGATATAAGACATCTTAGAAAAAAAATTGTAATTTGACTATTTCAATATCATAAACACATTTCTATTGTTATAAAAGTCTTAAGTGGTTGTGATCAGACAAATCTGTTTTTCAATAAGACATCTTAGAAACAAACTTACTTAATTTTTGTTTATTCTATCATTTCCTTACTAAATAAATCTTTAACTTTCCTTCTAGTTATATTTATCTATTCATCATCAATTTATGTTTTTTAACTTTTTTCATATATATTTTTTCTGAATACCTACTGTAATATATTTTTCATTTATTATTTATTCAATTGCTTTTCAATTTATTTTCAAAACCTTATTCAAATTTATTTTATCATTAATATATTTTTATATTATAAATTTATTTAAAACTTATTAAAACATGTTATTACGTTATTAATTTTTACTTTTTCATTTTTATACCCTTTTCAATTTTCTTCTCAAATTTTCAATGCTTCTCAAATATTTCTCTATTCAAATATATCTTTACTAAAAATTTCTTTTTAAAAATCACAAATTCACTTATATTCTTATACGAATCAATCTGTATCATATTACCAAACTTCACAAACACATCTAACTATTCAAATCATTTCAAATTTAAAATCATATAAATTAATATTATGAATATCCTGTTCTTTTTCCGAATACCCTTTATTCCCACATTTCAATATATCTCTAAGTATGCAATAGTACCGATAAAACATTAATATCCCTGATATTTATAAAAATGTAATATCTGATCTTTTGATGATTATCGGTATCATATATGTTTATTAGTATTACCATATCTATTATTACATACACTAACAGTATATGACATTTACACTTTTATTAAACCAAAATTCAAAAGAATCTTTTTGCAATTTCGTCCAATATGAAATTAAATCCAATGAAACATACACAACATTCTCCTATATCTTCTGTAGTTGCATATTATATATTCAAACGATTTTTAAATAATGTTTCTATCAAATGTGTAGTGATTCCGTCCCGATTAAAAATTGAGTACTTTCATCCCGATTTATCGGGATAAAATTGAATACTTTTATCCCGATTTCCCGATCAATTCCGATACCACCTGGACACACTTTCTCTGTGACATCATTGAGAATTTAAATGATGGCAGGAATAATGTTTTTTGCATTCCCTTCAGTTGGGGATTTAAAAACGGTTTCGCCATATACAATAAACATACGAATCCCAATGCGTTAAACAGAATTTTTTCAATGATTTTCGAAATTATGGAAGATTTCTGTAAAAACTGCCCTCAAGTATAGGGTCATAACACTTGTTACTATTTGGTAACTATGTCTCAGAATTACATTATACTTTCCAAGAATTTCCGAGCTAGAAGAAGAAAACAAGAAATTCTAAGAACAAGCTGCTGCAAACATTCAGCACAACCATCTTGAGCCAGATTTTGATGATACAGAGATGATTGTAAGGATATCTGATGCAAAATTCGAAGAAAATAATGAAATTGATAAAGAAAACAAACAAAAACAAAAGAAAATATAATGAAGAACAAGAACCAATAGAAAATGCTGGAGAACAGTAAATAGAAACACAAGATTAACCAGAAATAGTTGTTGAAGAGTTGAAACAGGAAGCTATTTTGGGATAAATATATTTTTGTAGAATTGATATTCCTTAATAAATATTTATTATTTACACGAAATATCAAATATCGATGATCAAAGTTAATACTTATCCTTTTCTATCTATTTATATGCATTATTCAATATATAAACAGGTATATATTGAAGTATTAATGGAAATTTGATCTAAAGATCCAGAAAATTATGAGGCAATATATATGTACA